CTGCCTCCTCAGGCCAACTGAGGAATAGCAAACTGCATTCTATTACTGTCCTAGTGAGAGGATGTTCTGTGACCATAAACTCAGGATGGGTATTTGAGGTAGGAGAGAGCCAATTGTAGTTTTTTTGTTTGTTTTATTTTAAGACAGGGTTTCTCTGTATTGCCCTAACTATCCTGAAACTTGCTCTGTAGACCAGGCTGGCCTCAAACTCACAGCAGTCAAACCACCTCTGCCTCCTGAGTGCTGGGATTAAAGGTGTGCATCACCACCCAGCGTATAGTTTTTTGTTTTGTTTTGTTTATGTTTCATACAATACATTTTGATCATATTCCTTCGCCTCCCCCAACAACTCCTCCCTCACCTCCCTACCCATGCAACTCCATGTTCTTGCTCCCTCCTAAAACAAAACAGAAAGTGCAAGTGTTTGCACACACACACACACACACACACACACACACACACACACACACACTGTGGAGTTTGATTTGACCATTCACACTTCTGATTTTGTTAGCCTTGTGGTAGAGATGCACAGCTCACGGCACTTACTGTCATCCTTTAGCTGTGCCTTTTGTTAGTTTGGGGTCAGGAGGGGACGGCTAACTGTATTATCGCCAGTTCATCCTTTAGCTGTGTGGCCAGGTTAAGGCCCAAGCTGTTCTTTTAGTTCATTTTAACTCAGCAGTAACAGGCGGTTTAAGGATTCCTTGATGAAATGTTAGTGCGTGAAAGTACTAACCGGCCTCTTGGGACTCTTCCGTCTCTCCCAGTGGTACCTAGACAAGGTCAAATGAACAGAGAGAAAAGGACTATATCCCTCTAATTCCAACACCAAAAAAGAGCTTCTAGCACCCCCTGCTGTCTTAAAATAAAACTTCCTTCTGTTAGGTCACGGCTCATGTTTTATCGTGAGTAGGACAGCGTGTATCATAAACCAAGGACTGTGAACCGCACAGTGACTCAGGGAAATAAAGCTGACTACTGGGTGATGGTTTCGTGGTTATAGTGTTGGCCATCACAGCTCTGAACTGCATGAAATTTGCTGGTGCAAGAGCCAGAAAGTAAGCGATATAGTGATAATGATGCTAAGTAATTACTGTTTATGTGATACGTCCTCCTCTAAGTACTCTATGTGGACTTCCTCCTAAAACACAACCATGAATCTCTACGAGGTGTACCACATACTCTTGGCAGATGCAAACATTGCGACACGGAAAAACAGTAGGCAGTATCACCTGCTGAGGAATAGGACTAGCAGTTGAGCACAGCGGTTAGATTCACCGAGCCAAGAGCCCTCACCCAGGGATCAGCACCTCTCATGTTTTCAAGAAGACACACTGGCAGCGTCACTCATTTTCCTGCCACACCTGGCTGTATTCAAGAATATATTTTATTTATACAAGTAATATGTAGTAATCATAGCCGACACTTCCATCCTGTTGTGTGCCAAGCACTCTTCTAAATGCTTTGCATAGGTGAAATCATTATTGCCTCTGCAAGCCTGTGGAGTAATTAATTTGAATGCTCATCTTACAGGTAGGGAAATAGTTAAGTGACTAGCCAAGAGCACACGAGTAGGGAATAATGGAAGCTGTGTAATGGACCCAGATAGTCTGGATGTAGAATCTGAGTGCCATACTCTAATGCTTAGAAAATTTGATTCTAAAATAATACAATTATGTTTAGACAGAATACAATTTACAGAGATCTGCGTGGCAGAGTTAAGATCAATTTAAAAAAACTGTTCAGGTTGGATGAAAGCTTAGGAAAAGACTGCTTTAGTTGATTTCTACTTTGGGTATCAAGAGCAATTCTGTGAGCTGACAAGGTGGCTCAGGAGATGAAGGTGTTTGCGGCCAAACCTGACAACCGGAGTTCAGTCCTGCACCCCCATGTAGTAGAAGGAGGGCCAGCTTCTGCAGTTGTTCTCTGACCTCTAGAGTTGCGCGCGCACACACACACACACACACACACACACACACACACACACACACACACAAATACATTTTAAACAACAAAGACTCAAATAAAGATCCAGATTTTTCCATCGAGTGTCTTCTTGAGCAGTCTTGGTTGTTGTAGATTGGATAGAGGGAGGTGGAGTGCATGGATTCTTGTTCTCCAGAAGGGCTGCGGAATTATGCTCTAAGTGTGTGTGTGTGTGTGTGTGTGTGTGTGTGTGTGTGTGTGTGTGTGACTTTAAGAGAGTTTTAAGCAATGTTCGCCTCCTAAGTGTTTCTACAATTTGTAACACTGAGGAACATTAGTAATAATGAGAACCGAGCAAAAGACAGCTGCTTATTACTCATAAGAAGAGAATTCCCAATTTAATCAAATAAAACATTCGATTCACTCCATTACTGCAGGAGCTAGCAGTGATAGTTAATGCCACCTAGTGGTTAGAATAAGCTGTGTTTCCTTAGTCTGCAAACTATAGAAACTATCCTCAGTGAGTCTAATTCAGAGGAAGAAGCGAGTGTGCTTGGAGTCTGGCATGTGCATGGTTGCCTGATAGCCGGTTCTTTGGAGTGACCCAGCCTCTGCTTTCTACTTGGTTTGCAGGTGACCCCAGCTCCCTGTCCCTAATCTCTTCCCCAGCAGCTGCTGTAATACCTCCTGGGTTGTATGGGGGCTGCAGAGATCTTCCGGGACTATTTTGAGTTGAAGAGGGCCAGCTGAGCTCTCACACAGGGCGGGGTGGGAGCAGGCTGATGTGAGAAGAGCCGGTCCCGACTGTGATGCCAGTTTTGAAAATCTGTTTGCATTTCCTCCTTGTTCATTTCTGTTGACCTTGGAGTGACTTTGTGAGTCCTCCCTTACTTACCCTCCTCTTGTTCACATCCTCCAGTTTGTGCACAAGTTCTCCACAATCAAATGCCGACCCATCTCCAGGTTCTTCAGTGGGAAGTCCCCTGCACACACCAGTCTTCCTGAACTCTGCACATACACAATCAGACCTTTAAAACTTGCTTCTTTTCGTTGGTGTTGTTAATCCCCATTCAGTATTCCCTCACTGCAGTCTCAAGTCTTTTCTGTCTCTTCTAGAATTCAGACAAACCACAAACACAGGCTCCCCTTGGAACATCTGTTGCTTTCCCCTTTAATTTCCATCCATACTTGACTCTGCTGGCCGGCACATCATCAAAGAGTATCTGCGTTGCTTGGAAATATTTCATGCATGTACCTGCCATTTTACTTATTCATTCATTCCTCAGTTCTTTGCCTTGCCTGGGACATAAGTACTATTTAGTCTTCAACTGCCTGCCACCCACTAAACTAAGCCAAATATAGAGTGTTCTCGGCTCCATTCACTTCCTTCCCTGAGGTCTGCCACCACCAAGGGCACTGAACTGCCTGCCCACTTTTGCCTGTTTGTGTGTGTGTGTGTGTGTGTGTGTGTGTGTGTGTGTGTGTGTGTGTGTGTGTGAACTCAGTGTAAATGACTTTTGTAACATTCTTTTGTTGTTTTCTGCTACAAGAGGACTGAGACCATCTTTGATACCTTCCAAAACTGTTTTCGTGATGTGGCTTATTTGAACTTGTGTCCTTGTCCGAAGAGTTATATTTTCCTTACTTAAAGAGAGAAAGAACAGACCTGACCGTTTTATCAAGCACTGCATCTTTCTAGATATGCTACTTAGAATTTTGCATATACCTTTTATTTAGAACCTAAAAGTCTGGTGAACAGAATGTAGACATTTCTGGATTAGGACAGCTGAGGTCAGAAATGTTTAATAAATTGTGTGGCTTTAGATAGCAAGTCAGCATTTGGACCTAGACCTATCACTCCCAAGCTCATGTCCCTTTCACGACATGACCTCTGCTTTAGTCTGGCTCTTCCCTGTGTGTGCTGTAATGATGCTTTGCATTCCTACTTTCTCTCCAAAGAGAGTCTGCTCTCAAGAGTGCAGAGGGGTTCTTTTCCCATCATTTCTGTTGATGTAGTAAGTTAAATACCCCAACAAAAGTAACTCTAAGGAAGGAAAGGTTTATTTGGCTTACAATTCCAGGTTTACAGTCCATGGTTGTGAGAATGTCATTGCATGAACTTGAAGCATCTAATTATATTCACAGTCAGGAGTAGAGAGAAAATGAATACATACATGGTTACTTGTGCTCAGTCTCTTTTCTACACTATATACTCCAGGATCCAGACATAGGGAATAGTGCTGCTCACAATGGGCAAGTCTTCCCGCCTGAGTTAATGTAGTCAAGACAATTCCTCACATACATGCCCACAAGCCAATGTGCTCTAGATTGTTCCTCACAGAGACTCTCTTCCCAGGTGATTTGAGATTGTGTCATTTAAAACTAACTGTCTACCTGGCTTGGCATTCTATTTCCTACACCATTTTCTGATCCATGTTTAATCAGGTGTATTCATAACTCATCTGAACAATATAGAAGCAGAGCAGGGGTCCCCACTGGTCATTTTGCAATTTACTGGATCTTAAGACCATTTTCTAAGGTAGATGTGCCCTGAGCCCTGTGGATAAATTTTACATGCATGTTGAACTTCTTACACTTAGTTGAGAATGTTGTAGGTCGAGTTTTCCTGTCCCAACATCACTCCCAAAAAACCACTCAGAAGCTGAATATTAATTGTAAACGCTTGGCCAATAGCTCAGGCTTGTTACTAGCTAACTCTTACATTTAAATTAACCCATATTTCTTATCTACACTCTGCCAAGTGGCTTGGTGCCTTTTCTCAGTACAACATGCTCATCTTCCTTCTCCCTAAGTCTCCTGGCAACTTCAGACTCCACCCTTCTCCTTCCCAGCATTCTCAGTTTGGCTTGCCTAAGATCTTCCTGCACAGCTATAGGTCGGTCAGTTCTTTATTAACCAATGAGAGTAGCATGTATTCACAGTGTACAGAAGAATGTAAATGATCTCAGTGACCAGGGGGACTTGAGAGCACCTAGATTAACTAACTGCAGAAAATATTTATACACATTCGGTGAAAATGTAAATTCATGTTTGTTTGTTTCCTGTTACAGGGATTCCGAGCGAGCCCTCGGCACATCAGGAGACGAGTTGCTGCCGCTGCTGCAGCTGCCCGGCTAGAAGAAGTGAAGCCCGTGGTGGAGGCTCACCACCAGAGTGAACAGGAGTCATCCGTGAAGAAGCGAAGAATCAAGAAAAACAGCCGAGTGCAGCCAGAATTTTATCAGTCCGTTCAAGGTGCTTCCACCAGGAGGCCTGTAAGTAGAGAGCTGTCTTCTGTAAGAGTGTTGAATACACATGCAAATGGCGAAGTCACTCTCTCAAATAATTAGGCTAGTCTGTTGTTGCCCCCATGGAGTGACTGTGTGTTCACATGAAGGGAGGGATAGGGTTTCTGAGAAGGTGTTGGAGAGAGCCTTGCCAGAGGCAAGAACAGGTCAGTGTCACACAGACCTGATCTAAAACCTAGGGGATTCCCGGTGCCCTTGAAGCCGTGGTCTAGAGTGAGGATGGGGGCTCCAGAGTTAGCAGGCTGAGGTGTGTTAATGACATCAGAGCAACGGTAGAGCCTGGATCATGAGGACAGGAGAAGCACCGAAGGGGAGGTGGAGCTGGACTCTGTGGAGGTAGTTGATCCCCTTCCAGGAGTCTCTAGGGCTGGGAAGAAGGTTCAGCTTGCCTGTAAAGCCAGCTCAGGGTAACTCTGGAAGACCTTCTAACTGTGGCCTTTCGGCTATAGGAAGGCAGGCACTCTGTTCTCCCTAACTGTGGTGGTTTGAATGAGAATGACCCCCATGGGCTCATATATTTGAATGCTTGGTCCCCTGTGGATGGAACTGTTTGGGAAGGACTGGGGGGTGTGGCCTTGTTGTAAGAGGTGCGTCACTGGGTATGGGCTTTGAGGTTTCAGAAGCCTAAGCCATTTCCGTTTAGCTGTCTCTATACCTGGTGGTGTTGTCTCAGGATGTGAGCTCTCAGCTACCACTTCAGTGTAGTTCCTGCCTGCCTGCCTGCCCGCCATGCTCCCTGCAGTGATCACACACTCTAACCCTCTGGAACTGTGAGCCCCAAATTAGATGTTTTCTTTTATAAGTTTCCTTGGTCATGATATTTTGTCACTATATAAATATATAAAAGTAACTAAGACATTAACCAAGTGTCCTGTATGTCTGTGGACATCAGCACTGCCTTCCCTGGAGTGCTGGGGCTCAGCTGGAGGCTGATCTCCTCCTCATTTTCTCAGCACATTGTTCTAGGTGCTCTGATGGTTTTGTCTTGGTGGGTTCTGACACATGGAGTTTTTCCTGACCAACACTGTGATAATTAAGGATTTGAGCCATGGGAAATGCTATCTGAAAAGTAAAAATATTTCTTAACTGCAATAAATTTGTATTGTTTTAGGATTAAAAGGTACGTTCTCGTGGTTCATCCTTACGTTATGTTGAGCCTGTTATTACCATTTTCTGTGCTGACAACCTAAGGGAACCGTCAAGATTTGACTTGATAATGCCTCTGCAAACCATAGAAACACAGATGCCATTCCATAGGGGTCACTGGGTGGCAGGCACATGTGGAAGTCGGCTTAGTGACGAGGCTGGCAGAAGGGTACTGTTTCTAATGAATCATTTGCAACAGAAGCACTGAAGTGCACTGCTTAATGATAGGGATGTGTTATTGGTGATTACAACATACAGAAGGATTGTTAGGCGGGGGATGATGTGTTTATCGAGAAGAGACAAAGGAGTACAGAGAACTATTTGAATGTGTGGGGATTTTCATAGGAGAAACACGTACAAAAGGAAACTGGAGAGGTTAACTGGGGCCACAACAGTTCCAGACAACCACTGGTTTAAACTCGATTTACTTCACAGAGAAAGCCAGGTGAGTATAATGATTTTAGGAAGATTGAAAATGGGCAGTGTGGGCAGTAGGCTGGGGCAGACCAGTGACTACCACAGAAGTCTAGGTGTTAGGCCTCAACTCCGACATTGCTGTGAATATAGGAAACCTGAGGATGGCCTTCACTGGGCTCTTTTCTGCAGGAGCAGCTGGAAGGGAGGGAGACTGGAGGAGGGGGAGGTGAGTGAATAGCGGAGGCTACCCACAGCCTGGTGATGCATCCTCCCCCATCTGATTACATCTCTAATAAGTTGTCTAGGAGACCAGACATTGTCTGGGGGCAGTGAGGAGACTGTTGGCTCCTGGTTTCATATGGTTTCTGTGCGAACTTCTGAAGCAGGCTGGCCGCTGCTAACATTTCCCCGTGTTCCTGTCATCTGTAGACTGAATGGTTCGTGTCCTCTAATGGGTTTGGTTAGCTGCAGTCAGCAGTACCTGCTACGGCCACCCTCTTCACCGCGGGCCCAAACCTGTTCTTCTCACTTCTACGTTTGGAGAAAGTCGGTGCTACCACATGTCGCTGCCCAAACAGTCTAGCTGTGGCTTGGAGGTGGGATGAGATTGCGTCAGGTTGATTACACAGTGAGATCCCATCAGATGAGATTGCCTAGTGAGCCAGGATTATCTGGGTGGCTTTAGGTGAAGCACTCCAGGCCTTTCTGGTAGCAGTTTTAATAAGACCTGTGAATGAGAATGACGGGTAAAGTAACTTCAAAGAAGAACCGGAAAACGTGACGGTGACTGAGGCTGTATAGCTCAGTGGTCAGGTGCTTGCCTGACTTGCACATGGCTACGGGTTTGATCTCCAGCATGCAAGGAGGAGGCAAGGAAGCCATGACTGTGCCATTTCTGCCAGCTTGTAGTAGGACTGACTTCCTGATGGCCTGTCATGTGGAATGCATTTGCCCTTCGTGGCCTTTGACTGCAGTAACAGACTGGCTTATTCTGAATTCATAATTTATACTTAAGTGTGCCTATAAGCTGTATAATGGGGATCACTAATAGAAACTTAATTAATAATACATGGACTTCTTACGCCACTCCTTTGGGAAATTAGATGTCTCTAAAGCTGAGCAGACAGCCAGTTTATCCTGATTTTCTCTCCATAGATGTGTCTTGAGATTTATTGTCTATCTTAGGGTCTGTCACTGGCATATTTAGAGATCTTGAACCACGCTGGAGCAGGAAAGACAACTAGATCTAGCTCCTTTCTTGTGCTTTAATATTTTTGACAGCACAAAACACCTTTTGATTTCTAAATGCCAGAGTCCTTAAGCACTGCATGAGTCACTTTTTCGTTGCTGTGAACCACGTATCCAATAGAAACGAGGGGAAGGCTGTATTTTGTTTCCTGGTTTCAGAAGCCTGTGCTCCATTGCTGGGAGAGGCATAGCAGAGCAGCCCAGTCGTTGACGGTGGGAGCATGATCACACAGCTCAGGCAGGAAGGAAAGTGCGGGCTGGAGCCAGGGCAGGCAGCACCTTCAAAGGCTAGTCCCCCAGTGAACCACCTCCTCCAGCCAGGCCCTGCCTCCTACACTTCACAGCCTTCAGACAGAGCCACAGGCAAGGCACTGCACTTTCAACATAGGATTCTGTAGAGGACGTTCCAGATTCAAATCATAGCGGGTTTCATTGTTGTAATGCCGAGGGAGACCTGGATCCTTCCATGTTTGCCTCCTGGTTCCTGGTTGTGTTCCCCGAGCTCTTTCCTGCTTTTCTTCTCACTTAATTTTCCCAGCAGTGCCTGGGCAAGTGCTCAGTTTCCAGAGAAAGAAGCTTGCCAAGCTTATGCACCTGGTAGAAAGCAGGGCTGACATTTACACCCAGGTCCTCTGGACTTGAGAGTGTTGAAGGGAAAAGATGAGAAATTCTGCATGTCCACATTTCTGATCAACCCCCCTGAATATTTTAACCACAGCACAGTGTTTCTATGGCACAATGACCGATGCTTATACACGAAATCTTTGGATTTTAAACAGTTACATCAGTCAGCCGGGCGGTGGTGGTGGTGGTGCACGCCTTTAATCTCAGCACTCGGGAGGCAGAGGCAAGTGGATCTCGGTGAGTTTGAAGCCAGCCTGGTTTACAGAGTTGAGTTCCAGGACAGCCAGGGCTACACAGAAAAACCCTGCCTCTAAGATGGATGGACGGACAGACGGACGGATGGACGGACGGATGGACAGACAGACATATGGATGGACAGACAGACAATTGCATCAGCCAAAACCTATTGTTAAATGACAGACAGACAGAAAGACAGAGAGACAATTGCATCAGCCAAAACCTATTGTTAAATGACAGACAGACAGACAGAGAGACAATTGATCAGCCAAAACCTATTGTTAAATGATGCTAAAAGCAATTACTAAGCCCTAAACCTCATTTTTTGCTGTGCATCTTATTGGCCCGCTCTTCCTGTGACAGGGAACCCAGGAAATGGGTTTTGAGAGATATGACAGCTCTCAGTCACAGGGACATAAAGGGTCTAGAATTAAAAAAAAAAAAAATCTATTCCTCAGAGTCTAGTTCTTTTTCAGTATTGCAACAGGAGTGCCTCCATTTCTGGTTTAGAATTAGGCCTCTCTGCACCTAGCTGCTGATGTTCCTGCTTCATCCTCTAAGCCGTAGCTTGCTTCCCCCACCTGGCAGGAACATCAACTAGGAGCTCCCCTTTGTTTTCTTACTTCTGAGCTCCTACCACAAGCCAGAAACTGCTTTACTGAGTGTGAACATTTTGATTCAGAGGTTGGTTAATACAGAGAAGAAACAGGCAGGCTTAGGCCCAAGGGGAAGAGAAAATGTTAAGTTTGCAATGACTGCAGGATCCCCTAAATGAATGTCTGTCTTAGAAGATGTGAGTCTGGATCTGGGAAACATTTGTAAAAAGATGCAATCAGATGCATGACCTGGATTAGGTGACCCAGGAAGTGAACGCTGAGAAAGAAGGACAAGCTAAAGTTTGAGTGTCTGGTGTGGGAGTTTGGGAAGAGAGTTGTTAAACTGAATTAAGCTTGGCCGAAAGCTGCTTCCGAATACGTTTTCAGTTTGTTTCAAAGGCTTCTCTGTACACAGTGAACTTTCACTTAGCTTACGTGGAGAGATCCATGTAAGAAGTAGAGTTCAGCCAGTCACACAGAGGAGCTCCAGGAAGTGACAGGCGGCCAGCTTCCCAGATCAGAAGCAAACAAGGTAATTGCTGGTTCCTGTACCTCACTCTCCTTTCTGTATCCATTCTATCTTCTTCCGCTGTAAGTAGAACCTGAACATGTGACACAGGGAAACATCATGAGTCAGTTCTGTCTGGCACCTTGACCCTGGAATTGCAATTAATGCTTTTTATGGTTCGGTTTGCTTTG